TTAAATTCCCCCACCCCCCCAAACATTTCCAAACCCTTTTCATAATAACAGTAAATAAGTTTTGTTAAGATTTTTCATTTCTACTCAACTAATACTGTGATATCTACTTCTTAGCCCTATTATTAGCTTTCTTCATGGTACTATAAAATTTGTAAATGGTTATAAAAAATAGAATGCATTATTTATTTGTTTTAACTTAAACTAATTTGTATTTATAAAATTATTGTTACATTATTATTTTTCAGTTAGCCCAATGTCAAATGTAAACAATGCTGTATCCATGGCTATTATTTTGTAGACAATTTAAATTAAACGTAATTGAGGCAGATTGTTTTCTATTTTGATGTCTTTTTATTTAGATTGTAAATTTTGTGTTTGACCTAAATTAATTAAATTTAAATATATTTTGACAGCATCTATGATGGGCAGATGTCGATGAGTATGATGACAATGACTGTGAGACTCAAAGTGGATTTGTGCATTTTGACCAGACATAAAAAGCATACTGCTTACTAATGAATGTTTAAACAAGAGAGATATAAGGAGATTTCAAAAGCAAATAGACTTTTTCAAACTCTAATTTACTGCAAATAGGGTTGCATATATTTGTTAGTACGCAATGTGCAGGACAATGAACCAAAGAAACTTTCTGTTTCATAAAATTGGTATAACTTCATTGAAGAGTTTAATCAACTAAGAGGATTTATTAAGAATACAGTACTTAAGTACTTATTTTACAAGACTGTGGTCCAGGGAATCCTTATTTGATGAAATATGACTAAGGACAGATTCCTGGTCATACTGAGTTTCCAAAAAGTTTCTGATACTGAAAATAAAGGAGACAAGCTGTGCAAAATTGGGACTCTTAAGTTCCTTAATGCAAAATTAAAATAACTGTATCAGCATCATGAAAATGTAGCAATTAATGAACACTTTTGGAAACATGGGACATTATGACATTTAGGCTGCGTTCTCTCCCCTAAACTGTATACAATATATACCAATGTTATTCAAAGCTCAAGTGACACCGTTCCAATCTTAAAATTTGCTGATGATGCCACCATCATTGGCTTACAATCTGAAGGAGAAGGCTTATACCACAACTTAGTAACAAGCTTTATCAATTGGTGCATGTTATTCAAAGCTCAAGTGACACCGTTCCAATCTTAAAATTTGCTGATGATGCCACCATCATTGGCTTACAATCTGAAGGAGAAGGCTTATACCACAACTTAGTAACAAGCTTTATCAATTGGTGCGATGAAAATTTTCTCCCCCTGAATGTATCAAAAACTAAGGAAAGATTGTTGATTTCAAGAGGGAGGAACACCAGATTACAGATCTTGACATAAAAAATCAAAGTGGAGAGAAAAGTAGATGCATACAAGTACTTAGGTGTCAACATTAATAATAAGCTAACATGGCAGGAGCACTGCCAAATGTTGTATAAGAAATTCAGAAAGACTGTTCTTCCTCAAAAAACTGTACAATTTCGGCGTAAACTTATTCTACAGTTCAACAATTGGAAGCCTACTCAATTTCAGTATTACCTGCTGGTGTGGGAATTCAACGTCTGATATTAAACACCACATAAACCAACTTATCAAGAAAGCTAGGAACATAACAAACTTAACATCTTTCACTGGAAGAACTATTTGAAGAAAGATGTTATTGTAAAATTAAACACATTTTGGATGATACAACCCACCCTCTTCATCACAGATACTTAGGATTGGCCCGTTCGGAATGAATTCTTTCCATCAGGGCAAGGACTGAAAAATAAAAAAATTCTTTTGTTCCCTAATCTGTATGAATTTACCAGCGTGCTCCCCCTTAAGTCACAAATCTTAATAAGAACTAATAAATCCCTGATATGGCTATATAAGGTTTCAAAAATGGATTAGATTGTTTAAAAAGTGCTATTTTACAGTGCACAAAGAATTTGGCTTAGAGCAAAATTGAAAAGACGTGGGTGCAGCAACGGTGCTGTGACTTCAAAACGCTTGGAAACTCTGGACTAGGATATTTGAAATTCATGTACTACCAGCATTGCTGGTAGGAGAGCTGGTCACCCGAAAACTTTACCGTTAACCCTCTTGGGACGTAACCCTCTTGATCTCTTGCTGTCTAGCAGTGAATCTGACACTGACGAAAACAATCAGGAAAGTAATGAAGACAATCAATCAAAATGATTATGTTTACGATAATGTTGTGAATCCTTGGATTAGGATTAGGGGTTCTGAATTGGATAGAGATGACCCCTATGAATTTTTAGAAAAAATAGAGCATTTAAATATGCCTCATGGGATAAGCACCCCATTTGAGTACTTATGCTCTCTCACAATTTTTACACAATATATAATTTAAAATGTTTGTGAGAGAGAATAATATTATAACTAATAAGTATGCAGACAACTTTCTCAGTAACACCCAGCTCAAATAAACCATAATTGGATGCACAATAGTGAAAAGGACTGCTCTGTCTGAAGCAACCGAAAAGTACCCCGAGGGCAGGAAAAGGAGTAGAACTCTGTGCCAGGGGTGTCTAAAGGGCCTCCATGGGCCTTATTTCACAAAACACATGTGTTAGGATCCATTCATGCTTCATCCATAAAAAAATTCATATAATTTACACCAGTAAGTCATGCCTATTCTCAGTCGAAATCGACGAGTCTGAAAAAATCACGTCGGGCGAGTTTTGCCACAACAATGGGTCTCTGGAGGCATTTGTCAGGAGATTAGTGAGTGTTTCATGTTTTGTTTTTGTACAAGATAGATCAGCAGCTACACATTACACTTATGCCGATAATCACAGCACACATCCTGCTGGGCACAACAGTCATGTCAGATCAATGGAGAGCATATACTTTATAATGGAATTGGCACCACTCCGGGATTGACTCATCAAACGGTCATTCATTCAATACTTCGATAAAACAAGGGAGACTACTACTTTTTTTGTATCGGAAATGGGCGTCGGCGCCGAAAAATCCGAGTTTTTAATTTTCCGATGTGTGTGTCTATTTATTATTAAATTAGTTCTTTGGACATATATTTGAGTTCCGTTTCCGGCCTTATAATTTGGAAGACATCTTGGCCTACATTTCCATCCAACTATTTTGCTTTTTCAATCGACCTTTATTTTGGAAATCTTTGGTATATATAAGGCATCTTCGCATGCAAAATTTTTTGTGAAATATAAAATACAGGTCTTTCATATTAAATCGTGTAAGGCATCAGATATTGATATATATCTGTGCCAATTCTCATTGATGTAGGTCGTGTCCCACGTTCGCTACGCTTCTCCCAGTGACCCATATCACCATAAGGGGGCTCCGCCTTATTTCGACATGGCGTGGGCCACGCCCCCTTTTTAATGGCGGAAGTTGCCGATACTTAAGAAATATTTAATTATTACCACTATATACATCAAAATATTTGATAACTTGTGTTTCAGAATGCATTTTGAAGACATTTAAACTGGAATGTTTTAATTTGAGCTTTAAAAACTCTGTAGAGTCCATATTATAAATGATCAGAAATTTCCGTGTGCAACACGTTGTCATTGGCAACCATTCACAGCCACTTGCATAACGGCTATATCGTAGTACTATCTCAGAGTTTCATTCATAAGTGTTTGCCGTGTGCAAAAACTATTAAACCATTGGTCAGGGAAAGCTTTAATTAATTATTCATGTGCCAAAGTTGAAAGTTTAAAATAAATCGACCCTAAACAGTATTTTAGTGATAAGGGAATGCCTTAGCCTTATATAAACTATATAGTCATTGCGCATGACGCGATCGGCGGAATGAGGTCACAGAATGTGGAGATGCAGTCCATGTTAAAAAAGGACAAACCAAGTCGTACTTTAAAAATTCATAACTTTAAAACTACAACAGCTAAAAATATGATTTTGGTGTTATAATTCTGTTTAAAATTAGCTCTATTCAACTGTGCCATTGGTTTATTTTTAAAAAAATGTTTACATTTTTGACCAAAGTATCTATGAACAAGTATTGAGTATTGTTATCCCTAGTTTTAATGGAAATGTGAAATAATGTATAGTATAGTAATTTTTGAAGTTTTTAGGCTAATTCAGATTGATCAGGTTTAGGGATACATGTTAGGGTTCATGTTAGGTTAAGGGATACATTTAGGGTTCAGGTTAGGTTTAGGGATACATAGGACACAAAGTTCGTGGGTCACGATAACCAAGATGGCGGTCGCGGGCTGATCTCTCGGAACTGTTTTTTATTCAAAAGAACATTTGTTTTATGGGAAGTGTGAATAATAATAATTTTTGCGGTGAATTAAAATTGAAGTATCCACTTCTGATACCGGGTCCGAATAGCCGCAGCCAAACTTTTCAGTACAATTGCAGATAAGTTCAGATAAGGCAGTAGCCGATTTGCCGCCCCCAAAAAAGCAACTTTGACCTTGAATGATGTCATGTTAATGATTATAGAACTATATTTAAAATAGAATTAAAAAATACAATAAAATTATAAACATAAACGTATTCTTACTTGCGTTTAGCTTTACGTCACATTGCTCTTCGTTTTTCTTCATAAAAGTCTTCAAATTTAGCACATTTCTCGATTGATAATAATGGCTCTAACTCTAAGAACGCAACCCAACAGGAAGTACCGTCATAACCATCACGTGATCAACCGAATATATATAAAGACCTCACGTGACCAGCTGGGTCCGAATAACTATTTGCTACTATAAGTACCCGGTACCATAGCCACTCCGTGTTTTAATAGCTTTTGTGCACAAAAGAAAGATTAAAAAGAACCGAAACTGAAAATTTTGACAAACTTAAACTTTGCTATTTTAATAACTGAAATTGTACAAGTTTATGTTTTAAAATAAATAAGTTCTTTTTTTTTTTGGCTTAAAATATAGAGTAATAAATATCATAAGATTGATTAAATATGTCCTTATTATTTGCGATGAAAAAAAAGGCACTCTTCAGTCTTCAGCCCTGACTCGGGTCAGTTTTACGAAAATCGAAAGTAGATATTTTATTTCGGATTCCTACATTCGTAGGCTGCAACTGTATAGGCAGCGGTTCAGCGGACCGAGTTGTACAGTTGATACTGTTACTAAATTTTCACTTTCACACACAGTCTGCATATTACAAAGTTTACATTTATTTAGTACGCCCACGTATTAATTGAATTTGGAAGACTCAGCTCAGACTTATGACTTAGGCCTTGGCCTTAGACGCCTTAGACTTACACTACAGAAGCTAGCCTACTCTATTCTATACTATACTACTAACTACTAGTAGTGCTAGTTATTTTTGAAGTTAGATGACACTTTTACTTTTTACAAGTGAATTTTTGGTGTTCAGCTACTGCAATTGTTGAGTTTAGGAACAGAAAAGATATTGCTTGGCAGGCAATTGGCAAACAGCATCCGCTCTGGGTCTGAAAACTGATCTAAATTAAATTAATTACAATTTAAATAACATTTTTCAGTTTCGATTCATAAATAATTTAAATATATATTATGTTTATATTGAAATATATTTATATTGAATATTGTGTATGCAAAATAAGATGTTCATGGAAAATAGGCTTTTAATATTTATATGTGAATGTGTCCTTGTCAAAAAAATGTAAAGTTAAATTTGAATTTTATAAATTTAAAAATAAATAACCAAAGTTTAATTGAATTATAATTAATTATTCAAGGGGCAAATTAATGTAATGTAGGTCATTGGTGAATTTATTTGGCAAACAGGAGTCAGTGAATCAGTGAATGTAACACTGAACTTTATTTACTAAAAACATTTTAAATACTTTTATTTTCAGTTTTTGAGATGGAGCTCGCAATAAAAAATAGTGACTTATTCTTGTGTAATGAGAGCATCAGCCTTGCTCACTGTGTGAGTGAAGATTTGACCATGGGAAAAGGCATTGCTGTTGAATTTAAGAAGCGCTTTGGAAAAGTCGAGGAACTTAAACAACAAAGTAATGACTCAAGATAATGTTTAAGTTTCATTTCACTATTTTCACCCACTAGGACTGAGATGTCAGTATTTGTCATAGACTCTTTGAGTTCATTGTCAACATTTTAAATAGGAACAGTAACATACAAGTTGATCCACATTGTTGATACATTTTTAAAACAAAACAAAAAAAACAACACCATTTATCAATCTTTATTCATTTATCAAGATGCAAAATCATACTTTAAATAAATAAGTACAAAGGTACTAATAAGCTTTTGAGTCTAGGAGTCAAATATAGTAACTTTCCTTCTTTCTTACAAGGGGATCTTATGTAAGCTTAAAACACATCATGCAATATTGATTGTAAAATATTATTTATTTGTATTTTAAAATTATATAAGCCTATTAAAATTTGTTGCTATTAAATTTTATTCTAAACTTCACTTTTGGTTTGTAATTGTAATCATCATTTTATGATTTTTATTGAATTGGAAATAGAATTGACCCATGCCATGACCAGATTTTTTTGACAAACTTGTGAACCAATCATATTTTTTCGCAGACACTTTCTTTAAAATTTGAACTTGATTAAGGACGTTTCCAGAGATGGCCTCTGTAAATTTCCTGAAAATTGCACTTCATTTTTACACCAACATTTTTACTACCTGTCTTAGGATTTAACAAAAATTGAGTTGCATTTAGTCATTTAGTATCTTATTTTAATTTGACATAATGCTTCCTATTTTAAATTAGTTTTCATTTTAAATATGTTTTTATAAGAAAAAGAGACACAGTTCTTAAAATCTATTGCAGAAGCAATGGTGGGACAGGTGGCTAAATTGAAAGTTGGTGATCGTCATGTTTACTACCTAGTCACAAAGGAGAAGCACAACGATAAACCAAATATAACAACACTGAAATTCTGTCTTCGTGAGATGAGAGATCACTGTGTTGCTCATGGGATCAATGAGCTAGCTATGCCGAAAATTGGATGCGGCCTTGACGGGCTGGCATGGGAGGACGTACAAAAATTAATTATTACTGTTTTTAAAGAAACAAATATTAAAGTTACTATATATGATATATAAGTTTTTTTTACCTTACAACACTTTTTTACAGGGTACTCAAATTTCATTTGTAACATTAAAAAAAACAATGTAACCCTGGAGAAGACATTTTCTTTCAATTAAAAACATTTTTTAAATTTTATACTAGAGCTAAACCACCCATTTCTTTAGCTCCCTTGTTACTATTGTTTGAGGTTAGCAGCTTGGTATACAGTAAAATACTTATGATTTTCAATTAAATAATTCAGTTTGGTTAGAAAGAATAGCAATCTCCTAGAATGTTTTGCAACTAAATTTTTAAAAATTTTTTAAAGAGATTTCACTAAAAGACAGTTTTGTGAGCTATTCACAAAGTGATCAAGTTAATGCAGACCGCAGAATCAAACCTACATTTAAGCTAAGTAACATGATACTTACACATGCACCTGTAGAGTATTTGTTGTATGTACCAGTAAGTATAAAAAAAAATAAAGATACATTATGTCATAAAAATTGCTGAGCCATGTCATTCAAATTCTCATAATGATATTGTTTTAAACATCACACTTAACAGTTCTCTACTGTGTATTAGGACACTTGTATATTTCATTTTGAGTTTCATTTATTGATATGCAATATTTGTTATTTTTATTTCACTGTGATATATTGTAAATTGCACAAAATATTTTGCCATTTCCTATTAATGATGCAGCACAATTCAAATTGTTCAAAAAATAACTGTTGCATGGTATAGTAATTAAATTTTATCACACACATATTTTTGTTTGCTGTTTCATGTAGGTATTTTCCATGGTGAATTTCATAGTTTCATAAAACAGGTGTCCTCATTTAAAGACAACAATAAAGGATGACTTTCTTATGAGAGAAGAATAATTATTTCAGCTCTGCTGAATCTGTGTATATTAGTAATAATTTTTGAAAAGATTCACTCAGGCTTGTAGAAATAAATAGGATCAGAGTCACGTGTAGCCAGAAATCTGGGTCGTTAACATTTTTATATTGATGAGTTTCACTTTTTAAAAGCATTCCAGAGGAAAAGTTTTTAAATTTCTTTAACTTTCCCCTTACTATCGTGTCTCCACCACATATACTTCCTGTAAATTTCACATCCCACCTTTCTGATTCATTTCATTAAGCAGTACTCTGGGGGGAGGGGGGGGGAGGCCGAGCCAAGCAGTTGTTTACATTTGCGTCATGCCCGATTTGTTCAGCTGTGCTGTACATCATTAATTTATTCATACAACTGAAAGACACATCAGCCTCTGTGGCCTCGCCTTGGTTCACGTTGAGGCATTCAAGTTAGCGAGAGGATTCCTGCTGCTGCCTGGCTGGTGTGAGATATAGGGTTAGATAGGTTCTTCATTTATGATAAATTTGTTGCTGCAGTATGTCAGTGGTACATTTGTTTATACATTGATTATATCAAGCATGTCACACCATGCATGCATGTTACAAATGTTGTTAAAATAATTAAAAAAGATGAGCTAGAATGTTTTGAATTTTTTAAATTGTTTTTTTCAGTGAATTATCTGAATTAATAATCACATCATTCCACAATGGAAGTAGAACATTCAAAGCAAATAGAAACAGTTATTCATTATTTACAATGAAAACTGTATTAAACCAAGTTTTCAAAATATGCAGATGATCAAAGGTGAACATAATTGTAGATATGGACACAAACCTTGAGAAAAGAGCAAAGCTATCAGTATCAGTGCATGGTTGAAGCATATTGTGAGAAGACATTCAATCATAAGTGGAACTATATAAATGCTAAATAAAACAACAACCATTACTCCTTAAAATAATTTCTGCAGTCTCTTTTCTCTTTTTTTTTTTTTAGTAACGGCTGGTAATTATGAAAAAAAAAAAATATTTTATCTGTCCAATTATTATTTTAGACTAAAAAAAAATAAAAAAAAAAAAAAAAAAAAAAAAAATTAATACTAAAAAAAAATTCAGAAAAAACTTTTTTCTTTTTTTTTTTTTAGTAACGGCTGGTAATTATGAAAAAAAAAAAATATTTTATCTGTCCAATTATTATTTTAGACTAAAAAAAAATATTCCTTCAACATTTTTTGGATATTAGACCTTAATTTTATGTGTGGGTCTTACTGAGTCTTACACATTTTAAGAGCCACAGATTTCAGACACAACCTGATTAATGTTATGAGCCAACATAAACAACAATTATACCAGTACACATTTAAACTAAAATGGTTAAATATAAAAAGTTTTAGTTTAAAAAGAATTATTATATTTACAAAGGATAATAAGTTTAAATGAAACTGAAAACTCGCCAAAATAATACAAGCTTATTTTTTATTCAAATATAAACAACAAATAGTGACTGGTAAAAGTAAACGCTACTCTTATTTAATTCCAAACCTATCAACTATTAATTCCTTTAAGCTAATCTACTATTAACGGCTTCTCAAAATCATATAATACAGTATCTTAATAGTAAATAAATAAATATATACTATATATATGTACAATAACTACTTGCATCGCGTGTCTAGTGGGATCAAGTTAAGCTAGCATAAAAAAGCTAACTTCTAAAAGTAGATGACCAACGATAATATTGTAATCTGTGGTCACTTTGTTTTGCGGATGTGTATTTGCTATAGCTATAAATTTTTATTGAGTGAACATGCAGAGCACATGATCACAGTCTGAGACTGGTAAAAATAAAGTTACTGGTGCAATTTAATATGGTTCAAACACGAAGTCAGATCAGCATAAAATAGAATGTATTTAAATAAGAATTAACACATGATGACATCATTTAGAAAACCTACCACGTAACTTGAGATTTATAATTTAGGAAAATCTGATTTTAAAAAACCAAGAATCAATACCATATTCATCCTATCTCCCTCTAATATATTACAGTCTGATAACCATAACATGCTGTAAATGGTTGAAAGGAAGAGGGGGGGGGGGTATTAAAAATTGTACAGATGTTTTGAGCAATATAAAAATGGAAAGCAGGTTAAAACTAACAACAGAAATTGTACTTTTTAGTAATTATTTTTTTAATTGGAAAAACTACCTGGATGTTTATATTTTCAAACCAGTTTCTTAAAATCGTAGTTGTGACAGGTCTTGGCTTGCAATTGTTAAAGACAGCACAAAATCATACAGTGTATGTCAAAATCATAAGAGTAAACAGGTCTGCTGTTATTAATCCACAAAGTGCTCAGCAGTTAAAAACAAAACCACATAAGACGTAAAATGTTCTTGATGTGTACATAATAATTACGTATGAAGTGCTGTCAGCCCTGTGATGATGCCCTTGTGGCGTCTGTGGTCAAGTCCTTGACTTAACATAGATCAAGTTATGCATCATGTCAAATGAATTCCCATCTGGCTGGACACTCAACAGACCTTGATCAGGTGTACGAACTGAGAGATAACCATGTTCGTCCAACCCTGCTATTTCTCCATGGGTAGGCTGATCGAGCTGTATGGTCACTTTAGCTCCCCTTGATGATGTGATAGATTTGGACAAAATATGAGTGAGAATTCTAGGTAAATAAGACAGAACACTTTTCATGGTAGGTACTTAAAATTAAAAGCGTTGAATAAAGAGAAGTTTTCACGCGGGGATGAAAGCAGTAATTTTGTAGATACTTGTTTTTAAGAATCTTGCAGAATTAAAAAACAATTCTTTGTTGAGTTTTGGGGTATGTAATGCTATATTATTAATAGTTACAGAAAAGTTAACTCGATTTCTAAATACTTGGAGATGGGTTTTTTAAAAAAATGTGTAGTAGCATAGGTAATTCAGATACTGGTTGGAACGGTGCCTTCCACATTACACTCTGAACAGTTTATAAATTTAAAACCTGTCTTACCAGTAAGCTAATTTCTGAGCATGCACATTTTGCTTGAAAAAGATATTTTCAGGGTAAATTATATCCGAGTGAATTCAAGTGTAACAACGATGTTAGAAAGAAACACTCCAGCAATAACAAATAGTTTAAACTACTTACTCATGTAACCAGTGCTTGTAGTATTCTTGGCAAAATGCTTCATGGCCTCTTTTATCAAAGTCCTGCATTAAGCCTTCCAAAATTGTTATGGTCCGAGCAATGAGTTGACTATGGCTCAGAGGTGGAAGGTCAGCAAGGTCAGGGTGGGATGTGTTGTACATTTGAATGATGTCATTTATGCATATTGTTGGGTTACTGTTTGCAACATTGAACCCACAACCTGAAAACAGTTTAACAGTTTATTTTATGTATAGAATTTAAAAAAAAAAAATTACATAGTTATTATTATAAAGCTTGAACTATGTTAGAATTAAAATACTAAAAGTATATTTACCGATCATATGACTATGACCGCTTACCAATGGTGGCACGGATGATACTCTGTGGTAACATATGACAATGACTACTTACCAATCGTGGCATAGATCTCAGAGCCCATGACTGTGGAAGTGACCAAGACCCCTCCAAGCTTCATCTCCTTGCCATAATAAATGTCATTAGGCCACTTGAGCTTTATGTCAAGATCCTGAAATACAATGATAGAAGCTGAGATACCTAAGGTTGGCAGGTAGTGAAAATGATACATTACTCAGATAATGCCAGTACTCCAATTTATATAATTTAAGAAAACTGCTTTTCCTTTTCATTGGATAATCTTTTTTGGACATTTTAGACTAGTAAAACTGAGCCATAGACCCCCATTCAACATTTAAAAAAAAAAAATGATCTGATATATTATTTAATACCTACCTCATAACCAGGCAATGTGACAACACTCTTAACAACAGCTACAGACACCATGTGTTGCAAAAATGAGACCCGCTGACCTAGTTCACTGTCAACGCTGAGGCTTACAGGAAGGGTAAACATGGCGCATCCTTGTGGACTTAACCAAGAGTTACCTCCTCTGCCTGGCAAAAAAAATTTTAAAACTAAAAAATATGACAACATCGATATTTTAAGTTAATTAATATTATTTCTTAATTCTATGTTGTTCTGGGGTTTATTCTCAAACTTGACCTTGGCAAACAGCAGGGGAGATCTAGACATTAATCAGAAACCTAATAGGTACATTCACACACAAAAAAAAACACCTTATTATTTTCGGGGAGAAAGGAGTATATTGGGTTGGTGAATATCATTTCCGCTTTCATATCATTTGTTGTTTTCGTCATGGTTTGGCTGAGTAAACATGGATCGGATGACATCACCATGAATTTAGAGGTAAGAAATTATTCAGAGTAAAAGTATAAATTTTATTTTAAAAACTATACTATTTTGTCTGTTTTAAATGACCATACTCAACTTACTGGAATTGAGATTAAAAACAACAAAGATGATTTTGGAACCAACCCAAAGTGGTAAAAGTAGGCGGCAACCACTGGCAAGCTACTCTGTTTCACAAAAATTTGAACGTACCCCAAAGAACAAATTTTGTGTTAAATGCATTGTCAACTCGTTAACTACTACACAGCTGGTTATGATGATGAGGATGTTTACAAAAGGTTAGTTTTTTTTGCTCCAAGAGGTAATTCATCCATGGACGAAATTGAAAATACAGATCTAAAACTGCTAATTTTATTTTTAAAAACAGCATACAAATCTCACTTCAGAAAAGATTTTTTAATATGGGAGTTAACATAACAGGGCTGGAAGTTATCTTAAATTCATTTTTATTATGTTTCTAAGATTCAATCATTGCCAGAATATACCAGTTATATGTCATAACAAAGAAAATATTGGTGAAACTAGTAACTGAGAAACATTATGTTATCTCAGCCCTGTAGATTCCAGATGGCTGACTTTGCTAGAATACGTCAGTGACATAACAAATAAAATATTTATGAAACTACAAACTTAGAAACGATGTTACCCAAGCCCTGTAGAATACAGATGAAGAAATTTATCCATAATACTTTTTTTTTTTTAAAAAGCAATACCTTTTCCACTAGTCTGGCATCCAGCTATTGCAATGGGCCCCACGTCCTTGGGGATGGAGAAAAGCAGTCCCTCAAACACAGTCATGGTGGTGGTGATGACATCTGTGTAGAACACGACCTGACCTAGTTTGGATGTCTTAAGGTTCTGCCAGTATTGGGACAGCTGAAAGAACTGGGTAGCGATATCACAGTCCAAGCTGGTGACCACAGGCAGGACTCCAGGATTTATTTCTGAATTGTCAAAAGAATCCACAAACTTGAGGCTGATCTTCTGAGCCTTTAGGACTTTGTCTTCTTTCAGTCTGTGTTTGAAGGAGTCTAAAAACGTCTCTTTCAAGCCCTTCAAGAAAGAATTCCAGAATTGAAAAAGATTAAAACTAATACAGTGGAACACCCTTTAATACGATAATTGGGGTCCATAAAATCAGATTGTCCTAATGGTGGGGTTTTGCAATATCCAAAGCTAACAGCACTGGTATTTTAAAAAAAATTATAAATATAGGTGATTTTTCTAAAAATCTCTTGTGGTTAGTGAGCTATGTCAACAACTCTTGTGGTTAGTGAGCTATGTCAACAACTCTTGTGGTTAGAGAGCTTTGTCAACAACTCTTGTGCTAAGTGAGCCATGTCAACAACTCTTGTGGTTAGAGAGCTATGTGGTGTTGAAGTTGGTCAAGTTATAGTGGATCTATGATTGCATTGTTATTTTTCTTTGATACCGGTACTCTAGTTTACAGAATCTTTGTAAATAAAAAGTTAATATATGGATAAATAGGAAATTGCTTTATATCCAAATTCACATAATAGCGGGGCGCATTGTAGCGGGGTTCCACTATTTAAGAAATAAATTGTTTATGTTTTTAAATAAAATTGTAAGAAATTGTAAGATTTAAAACTATATCAAAAGTCATAACTGCTAGAAATATAAAATGTCTCTAGAGCAGGCCTGCACAACATACGGCCCACATGTGGCCCGCCAGCACCCACTTGGCGGCCCGCGATGTAACGAAATATTCATTATTTTTTTCTTAATACCTTTCCAACCTGTCCAATTATCTTTCAGCCCACACAAGTTTTTATAAAATATTACATCCCATACAAGTCTTTCATGAAGTATTATGGCCCGCCCTTACATTTTGAGTTGTGCAGGCCTGCTCTAGAGCAAAGTCCACAACGGATCTTCAGGAAGAAATATTGCAAACAAGCTAAAAGATATATTTTTTCTAAAGCAGTTACATATTGCAATGAATACTGTAAATTTGATTATTATATATATTATTATTTATATATGATTCAGGTTCTAAAATTATAATTCCTAAACTTATCTTTAGTGCCTTAAATTTGCAATCTAATTTTATGCATATTGGAAGTAAGCTTTGGGAGGACAAGAGATCAGGTGGGAGCAAACAACAACAAAATTTAAAAATAATCTATAAAATAATTTAAAAGCTTCTGAGGTAAAACAGAATGAAACTGAAGATGAATCTCTATTTCTCAACAATGAAAACATACAAAACAGAGGAGACACATCAGAGGAGACACAACACAGGAGACACATCAGAGGAGACACAACAGAGGAGACAAAGCAGAGGCGACACAGCAGAGGAGACACAACAGAGGAGTAAAAGCAGAGGAGACACGAGAGGTGACACAAGAGAGGAGACAAAGCAGAGGAGACACATCAGAGGAGACACACAGAGGAGAAAAAGCAGAGGAGACACAACAGAGGAGACACAACAGAGACGAAAAAGCAGAGGAGACACAACAGAGGAGAAAAAGCAGAGGAGACACAAGAGAGGAGACACAGCAGAGGAGACACAAGAAAGGAGACACAGCAGAGGAGACACAAGAGAGAAGACAAAGCAGAGGAGACTTACAACTCTCCTAACAAGCAGGAGACAGGGAGTTAGCGGGGGTATCACCCCAGGACTGGTGTCGATCCCCAAAGATGTGAGAATTTCACGGAGCACCGTCAGCCTGTCCGTGTTGGATCGTTTCAGCAAGGCAAAGGAAGAGGGATCCGCAGCATACTCAGCAGGGTCCCTCTCAAGGAGAAGCTGAAAGAAGAACAAAATATTTAAGAGGCTGTCTCATTACCTTTGTTTAAGCATCAGTTTCTAGAGTTGTTTTTATTGTCTATTCAATTATAATTACCAATTATCACAGAATATTTGAACAGAACACAGAGGCTTTTAGATTTTTAAAAATTATATTTTTAATCTCACTTCCTAAGACAAAAAAAAAGAAAAAAAGAAATGAAACTCAATTTTTATTTGCAAATCATTTAAAGTCATTAGGTTTTACAGTCATTTGTTTATTTTGCAATATATATGCCTTATAGGACATGGGTATGTGGCCTCCTATTATAGATGTGACTATTTTACAATTAATATACTCTGTACCTGAGATAAGACAGCAACACCGGTACCCTCTCCAAATGTTTTGAGAACCAGGGCCTTCTTGTGTTGGTCCATCATGTGACCTCCATTTTCAAAATGATCCCTTGTTCCTCTGTCCTGTGAAATGATGACCTCAGAATACTCTGTCACAGCACTATAGTAATAGCGACCCCTGACGGTCGTCACGTCATCGCAGTCACCATACTTGAATGAAACAAGCCGGTCCCCGTCAATGCCTTCCTCCGGAGATTTCCGGGCAAACCTTGCATCAATGGAGCTGTTGAAACTCAAGAGACGCCCACCGTGCCTCACTACATAGTCTATGATCTTGTCTTCAACTTCCGGCCTCAGCTGAGGGCACGAGGAGACGATCAGCAGGGCAGCGCTGCTGGACCACGGGGCGGACATCATGACCTCATGGCTCAGGTGGTAGACCGTGTAAGCATCTGTGTTGATGCTCGCCTCGAGGGTGGACCTGATTCCAGAAAATATCCTGGCTGTGTCCTTGAGGCCGCAATACACAAGGATATTGGGTGGTTTGGTGGGGTGTCTGGGTCGTGTGGACTCCGCTGTGTTTCTATCATCCCAGGCAGGCACTGGCGTATGTACAGATCCATTGGCTTGAGAACTCTCACACAAGCCTTTAGAATGATCTGTGCTACCATCGTCAACACTGAAGCTGGTTTCCTTCTCAGTGTCCATGAAATCTCTGTCTTGATGCAAGGGACTTGAAGCTTGAACTACACTTTTACTGGTAACATCTTGTTTGTTGCGCACAATGAAAAAGTTTTTATTTCAATTATCAAGAATGTTAAGCTAGCACATGGTTGAACCCACAACATCACATATTTAATATTAATATTATAACAATTTTTTTTTTAAAATGATCATTTTAGGTTTTTGACAACTTTAAGAATTATTTTTTCTGAATTTTTTCTTTAGATAGATCATAAATTGAATACATTTAATTTATCTTATATATAATCTAGGATTTTTTTTTTTTTTCAAATTTAATAACAAATATATAAAGTAACAGTATATATATATATATATATATATATATATATATATATATATATATATATATATATTTGTAAAAAAATATACATTTCCCATACAAACCTTTAATGTAATATATATATATATATATATATATTTGTAATAAAATATACATTGCCCATACAAACCTTTAATGTCGATTCCAAAGTGTGCATCAGTACCAGCTATTTCTTTATCATTTTTTATGATATCATGTTTAGAACCAACAGACTTTTCTTCATGCTTGTCTTCAGCAGTCTTTGATAGTTGGTCGCTAAACTGAGGAACAAGCTTCTGGGGGGTCCCTTTTGTTATCACACCTGTAAGGTAGTAAAATAAACCTCAACACCATCATTTAATTAAAAGTGTTAATTTTTTGTATGAAAAAAATTTCTGTTACATAAATTATATCATGCAATCATTAAATAAATAATTTTGAAAAAATTTTGTGCGTGGCTGAAGGTTTTATTAAATGAACTTTAAAAAAATTAAACAAAAGAAGCCAGAGGAAACAGCCACTCACTGACTAATCGCACAAGCTCTAGATCTTCTTCCAGTGTAAGGCGATCTTGCCCAAATGCGTCTGTCAGTATGAGAAGCCCGGGAAAGCTACAATGAAGGATAATACCAAAGGGATCTGCAGTTTTCCAAGCGATAGGGCATCCATGTATTAGAACCTGAGGGAAAAGAACACATGAGAATGTTAAAGTTAAGGCCTTCTGTCTTTTATTATTTTTTAAAAGTTATTTTATATGGATAAAAAAAACATAGCATAAATTAGCTAATAGAAAAGCAAAAAATGAAAATAAATTGGATAGTCAAACATGAAAATCTTTTGAGAATGTTAAGTGTAGGTCTTACATGCAAACTTACAGAGATGTTACACATTTTTATTTTCAATTAGCTTATTTAAATATTAAACACTCACATGAACCCTGTAAGCTGGTGGGATTTTGAGGGCTTTGTTTACAAACTTGTTAAGATCTTTTGGTCGTTTGGCTTCCATAAGAAGACAAATGTTCTGCTCTGGAGTGGCAACCTTTGTATGGATTTCTAAATAGGATGTGTAAGAAGTCCAGGTGCTGAGGTCAACCTCTTGCTGAAAAGAAAAAAAAAGAAAAAGTGTTTTGGTGCTTAGATAATATAATATTTGGGTTCAAACTGAATAAATTCAACTTAAATGCATTAAATATCATAAAATTATAAAAAGTGTGAATAGTAATACTTTTAATGAAAAAAAAAAAATTGAATAAATATATAATTACATTGTGGTATGATTTATTTATGTGATATAAGCTCCCTTACCAATGGAACCAAGCTGGAAATTCGAATGAAATCATCCTCAAGCTCTAACTTCTCAGACAACTGATTCGTGCTGTTGAGCAAAGTCGTTACTCTTAAATCTGTTTTCCTTGTTCTTTGTATGATAACACTTGAGGTGCGCAGTAGCCGATTCATGACCTGTCCATAGCGCCTTTGCCTAATTATTTCATAGAGCCATTGCATGCCATATAGGACAATGTTTCCAAGAGTTAAAAATAACATTGTTCCAGGCTGTATCTTGTATCAGATCATTTTCCGTGCCATCTCTAAGACGATATTGATAATAAAAATAAAAAAATTTGTAAAAATAAAATAGGTACCTGTGAAAACGTAGTATACACATCAAAAAAGTATAAATATCCCTAAATGTGAGTATTGAAATAAATGGCTTTGTAAGTAAACAATAAAACCAACAGCGACATCAGAAGATTCATTAATTTATAGCGCAAATTTTACAACCTGATAACTACACAAAGAGCTCTCAAAGAGTTGGAAAGAATGGCCCAGAAGAGATATTGGGCAAGAATGTGTGAATGGCCTATGCAACACTAGAAGCAAATAAGGCAAAGAAGATATAGACAAAGGTGGTCACAGCAAGAATCCCAAGACACAATTATATGGTATGCATTACAGTTCTATAAAAAATTTTGAGACATAATAGGAACTTATTTTAAATATAATTTTTTTGTCAAGCTCTAGCTTTGTCAAGATTATTTCTTCTGCAATTTTGTAAATATTCTTGAAGATGGTGACTTTGTTTAGCTTTAGGTATTGATATTTCTCAAATGATCTAAACTGGGTAATTGTAAAATTGTTGGAATAAAAGGGGAAGGTTTTTGGGATGAGAAAAACATCTTTAAAAAGTTCACAGGGCCTACAAATATAAGAAGGGCTTTACAAATTTAAAAAAAATTATTTAAAAACTTATTTGAGTTAAATTTAATAAGATAAATAATGTTTTGCCTGTACATAGGGAACAGTGTTTACATGGGTTGTTTTTATCTTTTAAAGCGTTTAATGTAATCGTCCATTTTATTTATGTATGGCACAGTATGGAAAGGAGCATAAATCTAATCTGGGAAATCTGCATATAATCAAATTTAAATTATATATATATATATAAAAAAAGCTAAGTACATTTCAGTAGGTATTCTTCTATATTGGGCTTGGCATTATGGTTTCTGTGTATAATTCTTCTTAAAACTCAAGTTTCTTGAGACAAGTACAATTCTATAAATAAATATAAGGAATGTATAAACAAGCTAAGAGTATAGATATCAGTAATTTTAAAAACACTAGTAGGCCTAATAATAAAAAAATGTCTAACATTAAATTAAATTAGTAGCTGGAGTCAAAATACAGTGTTTAGGCTCAAGATTGAATTAGGCATATTTTTATTATTGCCTATCTATATGAAACATCTTTCACTGTTCAATCGAGAAAATGTGGTACATTTCCTTTTAAATTAATTTCTTCTTCTGATACTGTTGCATACAACTAACAAGCACTGTCAAGCAAAATAAAACTTTTCCATGGTGTACCTCTAAGGGTTATACTTATAATAGCTTTCCACTTCCAGGGTAGGGAAAGAACTTTGTCACCTCTATTCTCCATCCCACAATTTTTTTTTTGCATTTGGAAAAACAATGCAGTCCCTCCTCCATATAAATAAACAAAAGTGCAGCCTGGGGCTAGGGTGGACTGTCTTATCCCAGCGCCATCACACCCCCCCCCACCCAACAGTCTATAAATATTGAATTTCAATAATTACATAATTATTCAATTAATTTTCTTGAAAGTTTTTTTGGTTGTTTCTTGGACTAATACCAGTCTGTCATATTTAGTATATTATTTTTTTGGCCTACATATGTAATTAAATTATCATTAATTATTATTATTATATAATTTTAACGAATGTAATTTTAATTGTAGTTAAAGTTGTTGATTCAGTGATTTTTTTATTTTAGTTTTTAATTTAATCAGTTTAGACTATACAGTTAAGAAGTTAGGTTTAAGTAAGAGTAAGAGTAAGAGCAAAGTGAAAGTTTATGATTTATTTTTAATTTAAATGATCATTAAAATTAAAACTTATCTTACCTATAGGCTTACGCATCATTATTTTGATTTTTAAATAAAAGTGTTTTTTTTTTTAGTTTTATAGTTAAGTAGGTATAACGCATATAGGTAGATTGGATTTTTTCAGACTTCACTTTGTGTCTCATCATTACGGTACCGAAAAAAAAATTTTTTTTCCACAATTGATGAGAGTGGTCTTTTCTTGTTTCAAGTTCGATAAAAATAAAATTATTTTCACATGGACCTTTTTTCGAGTCACTGGCCTTTCAAAATATTATGTCCAGTCAAAATATGAACACAATTAATATAATCCACAAAAGAACAAAAAAAAAAAAAAAAAAAAAAAAAAAAAAAAAAAAAAAAAAAAAAAAAAAAAAAAAAAAAAAAAAAAAAATTTCTTGTTTCAAATTCGAAAAAAATAAAATTATTTTCACATTGAACTTTTTTCGAGTCACTGGCCTTTCAAAATATTATGTCCAATAAAAATATGAAAACAATTAATATAATCCACAAAAGAACAAAAAAAAAAAAAAAAAAATAAAAAAAAATAAAACAAATATAAACAAATAATTAAAATTACACTAAATAATTTATCCGGTTTAGATTCAATAAATCATTCAAACATGAGACTGTTATTTATTATCTTTTTTTTATTACCGGTACGACATATCTAACAAAATTGCCTACTTTAGTCTATTGTGGAGAGTGTATAAAATATTTTTAAAATAAAAAAAAAAATAGCTCCCTCCCCCACACACCCACACACAATCATACTCTTTATGATGGGCAGACTAAGTACCGGGTTACCTTTAAAAATTAATTAAAATATTAAATTCACGATCTGGGACGACAATTTATTTTAAAGTAATTTTAATAAACGTAGTTGCACACGAATAAAAAAAAAATAAAAGTAAAGGCTGATCCCAGCATTGGGGTTGTAAAGAATTATAAATTGATATAAACTTTATGTAGGTTAAACTGGAATTCAGCCACTGTGCCTAATTGATTGGGTTGGGATAAAATTAAAAGATTAATATAAACGCGATTAGATTATGTTTATGTTTATACTATAAATAAAAATATTTGGACACTGTGGTTAGAAAAAGAAAGAAAACAGTTTTGGATAGCCGTACTCTTTCACGCGACGTTTTTGATATTTCTAGTGCTGCTAGTCCTTTTTTAAAAATAAAGTCTGAAGAAAACATAATGCAGATCTTGAATACCGCAGTTTAAAAAAAAATCTGATAGTGTTTAGTCATCATGGCTACACATACAATTAATCAGCAGTGGCAAACATTGATGACACTGATCATGTTTCTGTCGCAGCAGTAATAATGATAACAACTTGATATGCTGTGTAAGCTTCAATGGTTCTTTAAAGAAGTTATTTGTGCAAACTCGTTGATTTGGTTTATAGTATAATATAGTGAGAAAATCTGGGACCTGTAAGAGAAATAATGGCTTAGGATTTGTCTTCTTGGGCAATGAGTCTCTCTTTTTTTAAATCACAGTGGCTTCCCTTTTCAAAGTGTTCTTCTTCAGCTTCTGATCTATAGCAGTATTTTTAAACAATATACTGATACGTTTTGATTCACCCTGTTTGTGGCGACTCGTTGTCTTGTATCATGTGCTTCCACCGTTGTATGTGTGTGTGTCCATTGACTCAGTGTTGATAATTGCCAATGCCTTTTAAGCTAATTTGATTCGAAATAGAGCATATCAGCCTTCTTATCTTATATTTTTGTTTATATTAAATGACATTATTTGAAAATAAATACCATTTTTGCAACACTTAAATCTTGTCTATTGGCCAGAAGAGCATTGACAGGTTGGAGGCGTTCCAGCGACGAGCAGCACGCTTTGTCCTAAACCGCTACAGGAATACCTCTAGTGTTGGCAGCACGCTAGAAACACTAGGCTGGTCACCATTGGAGAAACGACGACGACAATCCAGGCTCTCAATGATGTAAAAGATAAAAATGGGCTGGTCCACTGTTCCAGTATTAAACAGAAACTCGTCCCTCTCCCCCATAGACAGCGACGAGGCCATGACAGGCAATTCAGGCTCATACCAGCAAGAAGCCAGTATAGGAGCTGCTCATTCCTGCCCAAGACAATCAGGGACTGGAACAATCTTTCAAAAGGAACGGTTGAGGCGACAACACTAGACACATTTGTGTCTATTGCCTCAAGCCTTCAAACCCTAGTGCATGATTTCCTCATCAACACCAGTAACAGAAACATTGCAAATCCCATCTACATGCATAGGAGCCAAAATGATCAATAAATTGATCGTGGGCCCTTAAGATATAGAAGAAGAAGAAAACTTTTTTTTACTCTAAGTCTCATGCCCTGTAAGAACTCAATTTAATAATAAACGCAATATTGTCCAAAACAAAAACAAAAACAACAAAAATAAAAAAAGCATCGGGCGCTTAGATTTTCATCAAACTCTACTGATTGCACACAACCATAATACAAATTGGTCAATACATGCCTCGCAAAAGATAACTCCTTATGATCACTCTCCTAACATTAGAGATCATGTAAGACGATCGTTCATTTAAATCTTGTTCACAAACGGATTTGCCTAGAAATCTCCTGGATTTTTTTTTTTTTTTTTTTTTGCCACCTAAAAGTGTGCTTGCTTAGCTGAGGAAAATCCTTACACTGGAATTTAAGTGTCCTTTAAATTTAATATCAGCTTGATAATGATAAATTTAAAAAAAATGTTTTTTTGTTAGTCTAGTTAATTTGGAATTTCCAATACTAATACGACTAAGCTGAAGATACGCCAATATTATTTCGTTGTATCTTAACAAGAATTAACAATATTGCACGGCTGGTTTAAAAATTTTGTTGCACAAGTGTTACTCAGCAATAAAGTACGATAACTCTGGATGACAAAGGAATTAATATTCCTAGTTGAAATGTCCTGTGTTAAGACTGTTCTCTGACGTCATCATGACTCCAATGAGGACTTGTCCTTCTGGAAGCAGACACCAAATAGTCAACTCCAAAAACCCAAGTCTAAACATAGAGGCGCCCCCCCCCTCTACCCCCTTCCCCCACAACATGAAACCTTATTCCAGGAATTCAAAGTGCTACTAAGAAAGTCTGGTAAAGAAACGAAGAAATAGTTAGGCTACAAGAATTTTTAAAATGCAGTTGGATCAATTTGACGTAATTATTATTCTTATATTTTTTGTTGTTGTTGTTGATAAAATTGTGAACGTTATAATGAAGGCACATTTGCTAAATGTAAATTCTACACCATTTGTGCCCTTGAAAATAGTGAAGTAATTAATTTTTAAATTATCGTTTTGGTCCTGGTTTTTTTTTTTTTTTTTATTTTTTTTTGTTATTTTTTGGGGGGGGGGGGGGGTCATTATTTAAAATAAATAAATGCATTCCACAAATTTCAAGTGACTCTACTTACTTAAATTTAGTCATTAAACGTACAGCTCTGACAATTCAGTATCCCATTTCCTACCATTTCTCATATCTCAAACAATCCATTGTTTGATTTCTCCATATACCTTTCATATATCAACCAATCGATTTTCCTATTTCTTGAACCTTTTATAACATCAAGTAATCCTATTTATCTCAACCAATCCAATATCAGATCTTCTTGCCTTGCTTCAAGATTTCAACAATCCCCAGTCGCTACTTTCAAATTTCCCTGTTGAAGACATTTCGTTTTTTTTTCATGTTACCTCCTTTATCTTTGTAGATATGACAGGGCAGACAGCCAAGGGAGTGAACACTTACTTAATGAAGTTTATCATAAACACTTTGTGTTCTACATTTTAAGAGAAGTATTATACAAATATTGTCATAGTATCTCCTCAGCTTCAAAAATAACAACTCGCACAATTTTATACCTAATTTTATACCTAATTTTATACCTAATTTTATACCCAATTTTATACCCAATTTTTTACCCAATTTTATACCCAATTTTATACTCAATTTTATACCTGATTTATACCTCATTTTGTACCTTATTTTATACCTAATGCTGATAAAGAAGAAAAAAAACACACCACCAAAATGAATCCCTACATTAACAATTTTTGGAAATACCACCAACCCTTTCCCCCCCGCTACAATGACGATTGTGCGAGTTGAGCTAAACATCTCATTGAGTCAATCATTCTTTGACATGTCATTTAAAATGAATCTTTAAAAAATAAATGAACTAAAAGAAAAAATCTTAAGTAAAGGCTAAAGACAAAATTTATATCAGAACGCAATTAATTGTTTAAAGTGTTTATTGTCCGAATTTAAAATTCCGATTTGTGTGCTAAAAGGGATCAGTAATTACAATACAACGTTTCCATGTCGTTTAAAAAAAATAAAAAAATTGAGGCATGAATGAACAAGTGTTATTCCCTCGCGATGTGTTGGGGGGGGGGGGGCGCGGGGGGGGGGGGCGGGCTACTCTCTATAACGCTAAATGTTCCACTTATCTGTCTTGAGTTGATGGATAATGGTTTTGTCAGCTGGCGGCCGAAATTCCAGGCGTCGGCTCAGATTAACATCAGAACAACACAACATCCTGCTGCCTACATTTAATCATGTTCCAACCTACAGGTTGTGTTCCAACCCACTGTTAAAAAAACAACGGCCATCAACCGTAGGCCTCTGAAACGCCTACTGATTGTTTAAACCTTTAGGTCACGGTCACGGTGTGGATCGAGAGTTCTCCTCCTTTACTTGAAATTTTCATTGCGCCGACAATTGAATGAAACTATGAATGGGTAATAAGGGGAGAGACTGCAATCAGGTTAGTACAAAATAAAATGAGTAAAACAGAGTATGGTTAAACCTGAAAAATTAAACGTAACAAAACAGCGAACGTGTCGGCAGAAAGACTTCGTCAGCGAACAAAACAACAGAAAAAACGTTATAAAAATAAGAAATAGCACTTAGCTGGTAAGTAGTATCTGTGGGCAGCAATAGAAGTGTGTTTTGTTACGTTTAATTTTTCAGGTTTAACCATACTCCGAAACTATGAATGTTCGCTTTTCTCCTAAACTTATTATAAGAAAAAAATAATTTAAGAAAATTTAATTACTCTCTATATTCGATTGAGAGGGTGGGCGTGGGGGGGGGGGGATGGTATTGTTAACGGGGCTCTTATTAT